CAAGCTTCGAAGAGTGTTATACAGTTTTTAAAGACATCAATAACTATGTATATTGTAGAATTTAAAATTTTCATAGCGATTAATGTTCAAAAAGCTCAGTTATGCAAGACTTAGACTTGACTTGACTTGAAAATTGTATATCTGGCAAATGAGTAGCGCGGATATTTAGTTACCCAAAAAACAACTACACTTAGAAACTTGGAGAAGTCTAGATTTTTGATTTCTAAGTGCAAAGAGAGACGCGAAAGAATCATGCTGCCATTTAAACTTTTAATAAAATCCCTACAAATATGCCACGCAAATATAATTTTTTGTATAAATGTAATTCATCTGGCAATCGAAAAACAAACTTCCAAATAAATACAGAAAATAAAATAAAAAAATCGCAATTTGATGCGCGTAAATAAATTTATTTTACTGGTAATTTTGTTTCCATTTTGGTGTAAAAACCAATTAAACGTTTGCAAGTTCACGTGTACAAATACACGTGCTGGTATTCAAAAGAAAAGGAAAAGGTAATAGGTGACACGCTGAGTAATCGTTTCTAAGTTTCTAGGTAAGTCAAGTCAAGCCTAAAAGTGCAAACAGTCAACGACGTAGCGTAGACGTAGGTTGACGCAGACACGATCTATCTTATGGGATTCGTGTGTTAACGAAAACTCACCACCGCATGGCGGTGACGTTGCCGTTGCTTCTCTCTCTCTCTATCAACAGTAAATTTGATATGCTGCTACATACGTCAACCTACGTTTACGCTACGTCCTTGACTAACTGAGCTTTAAGTCTTGCATAACCCAGCTTTAAATATTTTCGAAAAATAATACCGCGACTTGGAGAGCAAAATGCATTTTGTAGCAGAATCTTTACCTATCTGTCAAGCAAAAAAAATTGTTTTATTCGACTCATAAATGGTGGGGAAAATGATTTCGAATTGAACGTGATTTGCCTACATATCTTGCATACATATGTATAACTTCATCTGTTTTTATTGATTTCAATAAGCAGCCCTATTGAGAATAAAGCCATCCTTTGAGGTAATGAAATTTCTTTGAATTTCTTTATATTTCTATATTCTTGTTATTTCCTGAAAAAAATATTTCTGAATATCATGGAATATACTACGTACATAAGAATATTAGAACCAAAAATTGCTTGAAAAATACCTGAGATAACGACGCTTACTTTAAACAAAATATATATCCTTAAACATTTTCACTTTTTTACATTTTTTTTTAAGTTAAATTAGCTCTTCCATATTTAAGTGCATTTCCGCTAACTCCAAAACTCGAGTTAACAAATCTATGTACAAATACATTTGCAGTGCGTTTATGTATATACTTTCAAGTTCATACTTATTTATGCTCATTTGGCGATCATGGACACACAATCTTTTGAACTTTTTTTTTTTACAGCCAAACTAAACAATTTTATTATACTTTGATTTTCGCCATAAACTTTAACTTCTTAAATATGCATGCCCGTAAATTGGAAATATTTTTTTTTTAATTCACCCACACAATTGCGTACGTAGCCAAATATAAAATGAACACTTTGACGCTTTTAAAAGTGAAAGGAACACTAACGATAAAATTTCACAACAGTTCTCTTCTGTTTACAAGAGGCACTGGATTGCTGTCTGCCTCCGGGAGCTCACACGTGCTACAAAAGGCATTAATCGACATCTAGAGGCCAGAGTAGTTAGCTGATGGAGTTTCTCTTGTTTGTTTACATTTATTTATGTACATATGTACATACATGTACGGGTGTACAAATATTCAGATCTACTTAGTTATTATATGATTGAGCAGAACAATACTTAATTGCGAGTAAAAGTTCGAGTGCGAGATCTATATCTTATAGGGGAAGAAACCTCACTCAACTTATCCTAACACAGAGAAATTATTTCATTGTATATATATATATGTAAGTAGTACATACCAGGGTTGTTGCGAATATTCGCATTCGCATTCGCAACTTCGGAACTTCCGCATTAATTTGAACATTCGCATTCGCTTTCGCATTCGCAATAATCAATGTGGAGCCTTTGCGAATGCGAATATTGTGCAAGTGCACCGATAAAACGTATATATGGCAAACAAAATGACAAATTGTAGCCAATATTTTTGCCTGTGGTCATGGGAGTATTTGTATAACAAAACAAGTCAAATGTCATATTTATCAACTTTGATAAAAATTTCTTTAAACATAGTATTTCTTAAGCTATGTATATAACCGCGCTATTAATGGGCAGTTATACAGGTTCCAACTTCTACTTGACCTTTGACGTGCGTCAAAGAGAACACAGTCTTTTTAACAAAAAAAAAAATTTGTTTGTGCTTTAAATACCTGCATTGGTTACTTTCTTTATTATGATTTTTTTGGACCAATCTTAAAAACACTACTAGACACAAAAGAAGAAAGTGTGCACTGTAATTCTTAATCAAATTTTCGTGATTTGCTTTTGATGTTACATATATTCGTTTCAATAATATCAAATGGTGCTTTTTGGGGGATTTATTTTTAGCAAAAATTTTAAAAAGAGTAATTTTGTTTACCTGTCGGGCAATATTTTTTTCATACGGATATACATTGAATCCTTGGCTAAAAACTTCTGTGGTAAAACTGTCCCTTATTTGCTATTTAAAGTCAAAGAGTAAGCTCCTTCAACAGGGATTTCCAGCAGAAATGATCAACGTCTGGCTATAAAGAGAATCGATGCCCAAATTATAAAAAACACGATAGGTCTGACCTTTAATAAGATAAGAATTACGTAACTCTCTGAAATTCAAATGCTTATAAAAAACAGGGAGCTTTAAAAAAATAACAATATTCTGATCCGATTCGGCTGGCAGCCACCACTTTAAAAACAGAATTTTGTTCAAAATTTTCATTCCTGGAAAATAATAATTTATCTTCCATATCCACCTATTTAGCCCTCTATAAGCACAAATTTTTCAAACCAGTCGCAAAAGGAAGTATTAAAAATGAATTACAAAAACTCAAATTGAAAAACGCTGATGACGTTACAGATTCCCCAAATTCTGAAACAGCCATAGGAAGGAGAATGAAGAATTCTTTTTAAAAAGCTTTAGAAAAACTTTACACATTTGGTTTGGCTTGTAAGCGCTGTGTAAACAACGATCTCTCCATTATGCTAGATTTCTAAAAATACTAATTGCTTCTTAAAAATATTTGACATCCGCGTTAGATATTCGCTTCCGCATTCGCATCCGCGGATGTCTAAAATTCCACATTCGCAACATCCCCAGTACATACATACATACATACATATATTCCTAAATATAAATGTTCATATGTGCCTTAATATCTGTGTGAACATTAGGGTGGTACAAAGAAAGTAAAAACGGAATTGTAATGCTCTCAACCCTATGATTGTTCTATCAGTGTGACCACTTTGTGAGTAGTTCCTCAAAACGTGAGGGAATTCGGATGCGCTTGCGTATTTTTTGAGGAGTTTTCTCTCGATATATGTATTTGCAGATAACAAATGCAACCATGTTTTACATAACAGAGTTGTTAAATAGCTCTGCAAATTTTTGAACAAAAAGCTTTACGAAGTTTTATAAAGAGAGAAATATACCACACAAGCGGCTTGTCAAACATTCTTCAAACCTACTTTTCCCATTTCGCCATACACCATGCAAACATGACTCGTTCAAGCAAAGAGTTTTACTTTTCTTTCGGTTCACAATGTAAAAGAATTTGGGTTTGTTCGATTTTTCTCTCTTGCGTCCTCATTCGGTGAAAATTCCGTGGCGAATGAGGCGATTTTACCATACACAACGTAAGTGGTTTGATCAAACGTCAACATGGCGGCCAGAAAATCAAAATATTTTGAGTTTTGTTCACATTTCCCTTAAACGGCTTGTCAAACCTACACAACATAAATAGCTTTAAATCTGCATTTGCTGCTAAATATTCAAAATACTATCGATAATTTTTTTATTCCATCGTTATATTTTCAACTTATTTTGAACTTGCAAATCTTGATAACGAATGGAGAGGGCAAGCATTGTCCGATCATAAGAATATTTATCCAGAAAATTATAGGAAACAAGTTTTAATTAAAAGATTCTTCAGGTTTATATAAATTTCCCAATTAAAAACAATATTTATCTGCATTACTGATATAGCCTTTCTCTAATTCTTCAGTAGAACGTATATTAAGTAGTTTAAAAATGTGTAGAACTGACAGCAATATTACATATATACAAAGCAAGGCATACAAAATAACGGTGATACTTTGTTTGAGCCACAAGAACAAATGTACCAATTGAATTGGAGAACGTAATTAATTTTTGTACTAAGTACCTGTAAATAGTATGTAGTACACAGTACTCATATCTGTAATAAGAAAATTTTGAGTAATTATTTCGGATTTTGAGGATTTTTCATTTGTTTTTGAGGAATTTGGAAATTTTTTGTGGCAACACTGTGTTCTATATCAACCAAATATATACCCTTGTCTTTTTGAATCACAAAATATTGAGGTCGCTCAAATGGCTAAAAATTTTGGATGTATTTTATGTGGGTATTATTCTTTGAAGTCTCCTGAAGAGTAAGAAAGTTTGTCTATTGAAAAATATTGAGTTTCAAGGATTCTACACCATTTCTAGGAAAGAGTTTTTTCCCCATATAGAATACATGGAAATCTGTGAGCCCTTTGAGAGACCTCTAAATATTTTGTGATTTAAAAAAATAGGGGACATTTTTTTCGATTTAGAAGGGGTGAGAACCTTAAAATTCCAACTTCACTTTTCTCAAATGAATTTTTTTGGATCACCCTACATGAACATAACTACATATGCACTTATTGTATACTCTTGATAAAACAGAGTAATGAACGAATATGTATTTTTTGAAATTAGTGGACTTCTTTAGGGGTTTCATTTATGAAATCGTGTTGTGTTATAAATTTCAGTACATATATATGTAAGTACATATTTACCATGCATACAGTGTGGCATACGTACTTGTGGAAATATGTAAGCCTGTTTGTAAATATTCAAAGAACATACCTCTCATTTAATTTAGTATTCTTCTGACGCTTAATATGTCGCCGATTGAAACTGTTCGTACACGAATTGGACGTAGATGTTGGCTTTATTAGAACGGAATTCTGCAGGGATGTGGACGCCTTTGCCGTTACTGAGCCCACGCCTGCGCTGGCTACTGTAGATGTTGACTCGCAAGCGGCTTCGGTAGCTGAATGTGATCCGCTGTTGCCGTTGTTGTTGTTGGAAGAATGCGTATAATCAGTGGGAGCACTTAGCTGTCGATTGAACGCCGCCTTCCGTCGACGACTAATGTCTGTCAGGCAATACTTATTCAAGTGTCCATTGCTCGATAGCGAACTCTTGGGCGGTGTGGCATATGGATGTATACCCGCTGCTGCCACGTGCAGCTTGTTGCACGAATTCGTGCTTACGCTTAGCTTATTGCCGTTGTTGTTCAGATTGCAGCTTTTATTGTTGTTGGAGGTGACCTTTGGATTCCTATGTGTCGATGCTGTCGGCGTGAATGTTGCGCCCCGATCTTTCGAATCGCGCTTTATTGAGGACTGACGTCGATATGTGGGATGTGTTCGCACCGCTCCGTTTACGAGGCACTGTTGCTGTTGTGTGTTCGTGCTTGACGCTGCAACTCCGTGTTGCTGATCTCGTTGAAATTGTTGCTCTTGTTGATGTCTGCCAGATATAACTGGAGGCGAACTCAATGGTCGCGTATTCACTCCACTTGCAGTCGTTTCTAATTGCCCAGCCTGCTGTTGTTGTGTGTGCTGAACCTGTTGCTGTTGCTGTGAGTTTTTCTTCTCGACTAGATATAAACTGAGGTATTTGTCACCAGGATGCAGAGAATTGTCGGAAACCGCATTCGACTTTGCTATTAACTGTCCTTTCTTTTTACCCGCTCGATTTTTCAGCGACAAGTTGCGAAGTTTCTTCGATTGCTCCTTGACCTTATTGGATCTGAGAAATGAAGGACTATTGGCGAGACACTTGAAAATGTATGTTTTATTGACAAGCTTTTGTTTATCAACCTGCGGTGCGTACTGATCAAAATCACTTTTTAAATTCGAAAAATATTCCGCTTGCTGTTTCGCGTAGATATTGCAATCGCTGTAATGTGGTTTCAGGTGCGAGCGGTATGTGCCTGTTGTGTCGTTGATACCTGTGTAACCGTCACCGCCACTATCACCGCCTATAGTGTTATAACGAGTTATTGGATCGGAATTGCTAAAATTGTGAACGACTATGTGCTTGAAGTCCTCATTGAAGTCGTTGCCATAACTTGTGCTATTGCTATTGATCGCTGTGTGACGGTTTAAGTCTTTATATGCATCACATATGGTGGATGGGCCGCCGTTTCTTTCTCTTTCTTCGTCCGCGTCTCCACCACCGGTGCCTCCACCCCCACTTCTCCCTGCGTAGATGTTACTCTGATTACTGTAGTTACTGTTGGTGCAACTGATCGGACTATTTGGCACTCGCGTCGAATTGGCAGTACAATCCAGTTGGTGCTGCTGGTGTTGATTATGGCGCTCTCTTGCGGTTAAGGTCAGACTATGAAGTTGCCCGCTACAGCTGCTGTCGTATGAATGTTGTTTGGAAACGGTGCTAAGCCGACTCGACAGATGCTCACTTTGCAGAGAGCGCTGGTCATCACCGCCACGACTGATGCTGCTACTTATGCAACCAGCACTGTGCCCTGTATGACCAGCACCCAAATAAGCAACGTTGTATTCGATGTAATCCTGGTTTTGACTATCGATTAATGACTCACTGTCGGGGTCTCCAGGACTGTGACCCGACCGCTTTATTAATGCCTTGCTCGCAACGGCCGATGCTGCAAATTTGAGTGATTCACAACTGCAGGAAATGAATTTGTGTAATGTGCTGGTGTTGGAGTTGGTGTGTTTTGTGGTATTAGAGTTGGGGTAGTTGAGGGACGACGACGATGGTGCGGCAATGCCACTTCTACTTGTAGTAGCGCTCTGTTGTTCCGATGCGTTCGAAACACCGATATTATTGCAGGTATTGTGCGCGCCCGTAAGGTTGATCAGAGACTGTCGCAATAAATGCGGATGTGAATGTTGTTGCTGTCGATGATACGGTTGCTGTTGTTGATGTAGACGCTGCTGATGTTGTTGATACGCAGTCTGTTGCTGTTGTTGATCGCTGCTCAAGTTTTCTCTGCTATCACTGGAAAAGATGTAGAAAAGGAAAATGAGAATAGTGCAAAAACAAGCCCTCAATTAATTTACTGTTATTGTTACATACAAAGATAATGTGCATGTATGTATGCATGTACATACATATGTATCTTGGAAAATAATTCGTACGCACTTACATCCCAGTAAAAATTTTATTCATACGACACCGCTGTTGGTGGCATGAGCTTCCGAGTAGAAATCGGTTGTATGCATTCATGAAGTATGCATGCTTTATGAGTGAATTAGTGTGAACAATTCACGCGTTGTTATGAGTTTCCACAAATAAATTCAAATTCTAGCGAACTACAAGCGAACGTACGTTGTTGTTGTTTTAAGTACATTTCTTGATAAATTTGAAGTGGAATTTTTGTAATATTTTCAGTCTTGTAAAAAATTTAGTAAACGGACGTGTTGGGCGATAATACTTTCAGCACTAACGGGCTTTTACAAGATATGCATTTGCATATGTAAATGCTACTCTTTTGTATGTCCCCGTAAGTACCATATAATAAAATGTATCAGAAAAGTAGCATTTACATATGGGGATACATATCTTGTAAGAATGCTTTAATACTGTTCCATTAATGCATTTTTGTATGTTTGAAACATTAATAAAGCCATATGCGTACAGCAGTAGTACAAGTGTATGGTTAAAGTACGTATACGCCCTGAGAAACCACACGTGTTAAACGGAAATGAAGTTTCATTTATACTGGCATGTATCACAGCAGCAAGCTCATGCCACCAACAGCGATGTCGTATGCATAAAATTTCTACTGGGTACGTATGAGTGTTCGGTAGCAGAGGTATTTATAAAATTCCTGTTAATATAATAATATAAATATGTACATACATACACATGAGCGAGTACATTAACAATATGAATATACATATCGCCGTTTAAAGTGCAAAACCGCGTATCAGCAAAATGCAAAACCGCGTATGCGAACTTGTAGAAATTATTTTCTATTTTCATATTTCAAAATGGTTCCCTTTTTTATAAAGCAATCGCATTTCTGGCAAGTATATTTCAGGACGAATGGATTAGGATTGAGCCAAGAGCTTGTGTGAGCAAACCCAATTTTTGGCAGCCAATTTCCGTTACGCGGTTTTGCAGAATGACGATACGCGGTTTTGTACTTTAAACGACGATATGTATGTACATACATACATATCTACATAGTTGTGTATAATAAAAGTGGAAATCAAAGCATTGGCAATCTACATTCAAAGCAATTATCCAGAATAAGCTATGAATAAAATAGACTATGGTGAATAGAATTTAAAAGCGTTTGTATTCGTAATAGGTTTGTGGGCTGCATCTACTGGATATAGATACAATATAATGCAAGTACATACATATGTATGTTTGGGTATTTGTAGTGAATGTATAGTATGCGGTCGCTACAACGGTGGAATTGTGCAAAAATAAGATCAGTTTTTTTTTCAATTGTGTGCTGATTGGAGAAGCAGCGGAGAGGAATTGCTAAACTGCATAGAATGTATTTGTTGCAAGCTTGACGCCGGGTGAGCGCATCTAAAGGTCTGAATATGCATACTTCGCATAACTTCGCACAACTTCTGAAACGTAACACAACTTTACCAAACTTAAGGCTGATTATGCGTCGCATGCAACCAAATTTATCAGTACTACCAACCTTATGCATCGACGCAATAGGGTTATTCACGGCGTGTGAATAAAACAGCCGATTTTTGGTTTCTTTAGGTAAATGGATTTGTTTACCGAAAAATTCATTCAAGTGGCTATTAAGTCGTTTAAATGGGGTATATTTGTAGTCCAAATTAAGGCGGCACTAAAGTTCTTTGCAGTTTGACATAATTTTCAATGGAATATCTGTCGAAATATGTAAACAAAATATGTAAGTTTTCTTAAAGAAATACGTAATTAACTACATATATTAAAAGATATATTTACTAGAAAGATCATAAAAATACTTTTGATTTGATATATAATTTTTTTATAGCTAGGTTTAAGGACAACTGCCAATTGTAAAATAAAATAACTGTATTGCATATATACATATGTATGTAATACTTTTATATTGGCAGTATCTACAAATGCAGTCAGCAAACATTACAGTGTAGATGTATAAAAAAGGAAAAAGGAAACCGAGTAATCGTATATAAAATATTATACTTGAATTCAAAACAAATTGCAGTGGCGGAACGTTAAAAGAAAATTACAGCGAAATTTTAGTTTACATTTAATTTCACGAATTTTATAATAAATGAAATTATAGAAATGGCGCACTGACGCTTTTTGTGTGACAAAGGAAGATATTAATTAAATAAAATGGCTTTACACGCGTATTTTGCTACGCAGATAATTTCCAGAAATTTTAACTAAAAAGCTTGTAATTCTAATGAAACTTTGTTAATTTTTTTAATTTTTGCACAACGTTTGGAATTCGGATTTTTATAGTTTTTGTTAGATAATGAGCTGTATTTTTATAAAAAACTAAGCGAAAAAACTCAAATAAACATTGCGAATATTATATAAAAATCACTACAAATCAATATAGTTTTTTATTCCTCTTTAACTGAATAGTGAGTAAATTTTTACTCAGTCAAAATGGAGATACATATATGTTTGAGTTAAACATTCTGAAATAATAAATTGCTGATAATTTTAAAAATTTTCAAGTCGGCTGTTTAATTTCCAGGTAGCTTTAAAATAAAATTTTAATACTTCATCATAAAGTTTCAGTTTGTATAAGTAAACATCGTTATCAAAGGGGCATAACCACTCCAGAGTAAACAATCCCCTTCAAATTTATTTTCAAGCGCTACTGAGGATACGTCAAATTTGCTTGAATGTATTTGTTACATATATTCACAGATACTAATACATGGAAAATCTGCGCATGCACATTTGGCTCAAAACTGCCCGGCAAACCAAAGTTCCCGAAATCTTAACGAAATGTTTAGGAGTATCTCATTTCTGTAACGATTTTTTACGAATCTTCAAAGAAAATTATATGAAGTGATTGACACGAACTCGTAAAGAAATTTCTGTACGAAAAATAAAGAAAATTCTGAAAAACTTCTGCAATAAACTCTCCACATAGCAGCCTTATTTATATTTCTTTACCGATTTTCTTCCGAAATTTCGTAAAAGAATCGAAGTGTGCACAGTTCATTTCATTTTAGAAAATTAGAGATCGTAACGAATTCCTTAAAATTTCTCTACAATTCAAAATACTCTGAAAAAATGGTTTGCAGGGTATCTTCTTTTATGTAATGAAATAAGAAAATATGATTTTATATGACTAAAGAAAAAAAGCGCTGCAGGTGAAAATTTAGAAGAACATATCGCGCTTTCTTTATCGCGCTATTTTTTATTCCAAGCTAGCCAATGCCCGCTTACTTCGCGGTGCCTAATAAGAACTTTTGCGATTGATATACCTACGATGATCTTTCCTTGTTAATTCGCCACTTTTACAATTCGTGGTAATATTTATGAACTGATTTCTAGGTAGATGCAAGATCGCATGACAAACTTAACCCCATCCTTCATTTAGACATCTGAAAACTAAATTCGTATAGCTTAAACATAGGCTGCAGCGCCAACCATTGGGTCCATTTTCTGAAACACCACTTTTTTTAGATTGGGGCTTACACATATGTTAGTGTTTGGCCGAGCCTCTCCTCCGACTTGTGGCGTGCTCCTTGATGTTGTCACACAAAGAGGAGGGATCTACAGTTTTACGCCGACTCCGAACGGCGATTGTATTTTTATGAGAAGTTGTTTTTCATGGCAGAAAAACACTCGGAAGTTTGCCATTGCCTGCCGAGGGACGACCGCTGTTAAGAAAATACTTTTTTTTCTATATTTTTTTTGCGGTGTTGCATTGACCAGGGTTTGAACCCAGGTGCTGCGGAGTGGAAGCGCGCACTGCTTACCACTACACCACAGCGGCCGACATGCAAAACCATTGCTTACCATAAAATAAATACGTGTTATGAATTTCAACCTCTACAGGTATCATACAGGTACATAGCTCACATTTAAAATTTGAACGATATCGGTTAATAAATATGATTTTTATAAATAGCTCTACTCCAGCTCCACCTAGCGAGTTTTCTAGAAGCATGTAATAGGACTATATATGTAAGGTATATCTAACCTCCGACAATTTGACGGAACTCTATACAGTGGGTTTTAAGTTTAGTCCGAACACCGAAAACGGCTCTCATGGTTCCCAAGCGAATGAAACTTGCTCGTTTATGTAAATGTACATATATCGATGCAATCTTTCCAATAATTACCACTTTTCGCCATAACTACGGTATTGATAACATATGTAGCTGTGTCAAATTTCAGAAAGTTAACGTGAGCGGTTCCAGAGATAAGCTATATGAGAAGTTCATAAGTGCTAAGTTTCAGTTCCTCAGCGTAATTGGTTTTAGCGATTGTTTTTTTTACGTTTTAGTCTGTACAAGAATTTTAGGGATATCCCGCGCAACATACCGAGTAAATTTTTGGTCGGAATATTTATTTTCAAGGTGCTGGCATATGTTCCAAATATGAACCAAATCAGTGTAGCCATTTAGTTGTTTAGTGAAATACATTGTACAGAGAACTGTATGAAATTGTAAACCGTGGCGTCTCAGATTTCTTAATTTTTTGGCAGCAGCAACAAAAAGTTTTATTTTTTTTTTAGCGAAAAACCTTCCACACAGAAGTTCCAAAAAAGTGCGATTGGTTATGCTTGAACATCAGTAAAATTAATGTCAGTAAAATTAAGTTTGTGGTTATATCANAGAGATCGTAACGAATTCCTTAAAATTTCTCTACAATTCAAAATACTCTGAAAAAATGGTTTGCAGGGTATCTTCTTTTATGTAATGAAATAAGAAAATATGATTTTATATGACTAAAGAAAAAAAGCGCTGCAGGTGAAAATTTAGAAGAACATATCGCGCTTTCTTTATCGCGCTATTTTTTATTCCAAGCTAGCCAATGCC